GAAGTTTAAGCCCTTGGTGTGTCATTTTGGCAACGTCAAATCTGTACCAAAGGACTTACGTACGGATGACCTTTGTGATCGAGTAGGGGATGAGTGAGGAAAACAACCTAACTTCTTAGAAGTAGCTTTTCTAATCATGGTTGCCGCTAATTAATTAAGATGACGACTGTGTTAAACCGGCATATTTTACATTCGTTGCTATGCCTTTCTACTGCAAATTGAGAAGCCGGATCAATGCAGCTAAAAAACAAGAAGAAATACCTGCGATGGAGATCCTCGAATAATAATGCGAACTTTACATAACAATTCATGGTCTGTCCTATCCTCGGCGTTAAGCCGTTTCAAGAAGTCTACTGACATGTTACTTTTATCTTCAATAGTGACGAACACATCATTTTGGTCTTCTCCATCATCATAAAACCTGACACAAGAAAGAAAATAATACATTCTCCGTTAATGTAAAAGCAATCCAACGGAGACTCTTGCGACCAAAATTAATTAGGAAATCTGTCTGCAGAAAAACAAACTGAGCTTATGCCTTGCGAGTTGCTCTGGTAATTTATGCCCACTTTTTGTATCTCTTTGTGGCGCATTTTTAACTAAAATCCATTACCGTAAGTCTACTCAGGTAAGTTGCTGCTTCTAACAGAATGACACCAACAGCTGTTTGATGGGATTTCCACCCGACGGACCATTAGTGATGTTGTCATAATTGATTCCCGATAAATTCTGAATATTTTGCTGGTCTTTCTACCTGTGTTCTAAACGTAATCTCTATATCCTAATTGCCTAGCATCTCTTTATCTTACTTCATTTGGCGGTGGTACTCCTAAACGATTTTGTCTAAGGTTAAATTCAAAGATTAAGAAGGGAATCATTGGAGTGCAGATTTGCTGTGGGGGTCTGGAACAACATTTTACAGCAGACGTTTCCTGCTTGAGACCCTATATAATATGAAATAGAAAACAGAAAACAGCACCAAGTGGTAGTAATCATGATATGAGCAACAAACACTTACGTTAAGGAGAGGTTGTCAGTATCTCCTCCTTCGTGTACCTTCAGTCCTTTTGAAAGAGCAACAGACGTTTCGTCTTCGTTGAATAGAGGTTTCTTCGAGTTTCCATCTCCTTGAAAGATCACATCGTAATTCAACTTTACCATATTCTTATTCACTTTGGATTTCAAATGAAGTGGGAAACAAAATAGCTTCAGCAAGTATCTTTCAGGTACAACATCTCGACACATGCAAGCTAAAAACCCAGCTCGTTGTTTCATCGATCTCCTGGCCAGATCAGAGACATCACCAGCATCAACACCAGCAAGATTAGCAACCACCCACAAAGGCAAAAATCTGAGAGAAAACGATAAGGCATCATTTTAAAAATCATCGAAAAAACATCTTCTTTTACTAACATTAAAGACAAGCACTCCACAGGTGGTTAGTTTCTTAAATTACCGATAGCTTGGAAAGTAATCTGTTCGTCAATAACTTACTACCGTAGGGAAAATAGTGAAAATAGATTGCTATGGCTACTATCGGTGACAATGCCAAAGTCATCGTTACTGCTGTTGTATGTGTCGCTATCATTGACACTTTCATTATTATTGTTAAGGAATCTTCACCGTCAAGGTGATAGTCACTTTCGTTGTCAATGTCACAGTTGTCGTCCCAGTTTGAGTCCTCGTCCTCATCCTCGTCCTCCCCCTACTCCTACTCCTCCTCGGCCCTTTTCCTTGTCCCCCTCCTCGTCCTCGTCATCTTCTCCTCGTCCCTTTCCTTGTCCCCCTCCTCCTCCTCCCCTCCTCCTCCTCCTCCTCTTCCTCGTCTCCCTCCTTGTCCTCGTCCTCTTCATCCTCCTCTTCCTCGTCCCTCCTCCTTGTCCATGTTATCAATTTTTCTTTGTCCTTGCCTTCGTCCATGCCCTCGTCCATGTCATGGTCGTCATTCTCGTCCTTGTTGACGTCGTGGTCGTTAACGCTATCGTTTTCGTCTTTCTCAGCATAGTCGTAGTAGTACAGTATGCATGAGGTTGACCATTACTTGGTCTATAAGTGATAACATCACGAACACTTCCGGGATCAACGAACATTTTTAATGTAATTTAAATTTTAACCAATGAGAACCTTTACTTACCTGCAGAAAGTTTTCACTTTGAATCTCACTATTCCATCTGTAATAGCAACTGACATCTCCAACCGATCTGTGATATCTCTCCATTCCTGCTGAAAGTGAAATATCCTCCACTGACCTGAGTGCATGTCCAACAATTCTCTATCACCTTTAAAAAGTGCAAGAGGAAGGTTGATTTTTGCTGGCTCCAAGAGCGTTATTCCATGTGAGCACGAAATGTGAAGAACCGGACCCAACAAGATTCCAACTCTGCCATCGGTGCTTGGTGCCTCCTGTACCTGTGATCCAGAAGGAACAACAAATATTTATGACACCGACATTATAGGTGGCTATGGTTTGACTTATTTGAAACCTACACTAAGTTTAGTTACCTTTAGAGTTAAAGAGAAGTCTGTGTTGTCAGGAACAGAATTCCATGGGATTGAAACACAGACATTTGGATAGTCTGGCACTGTGCAAGTAAACTCGGGGCTCAAATTCTTTGTCTTCCAAAAGACAAAAGACTTCAGGCGCCAAATAACCGCAAAGGAGGTAAAGCAGATTCCAGAGCAAGTCGCTTCAGCATATGGGCAGTCCATAACAGCTGGATTCATTTCTTCAAGAAAGAATATGAAAAATTCATTTATTTAGTAAATTTAGTTGACTCTTCAGCATGAAGGGTACCTAGCGGGATTCCATATTAAAAACTAGGCCCTCCCCTGAGCTCCTGCCAGAAAAGTCACCTATACCTTTTGGAAAGAGAGACAGGGGTATTACATCGACTCTCTAAAAAAATAAAAAACGATCTGTAGCTTTGCTGTCAGATGCATTCTCACTCTTAACCTTTCAATCAAAGAAATGAATTGGCTTTTGATAACTGCACACCTGGAATATAAGTCTCAATTGGGGATCTACACTTGTACTGTGGAAATGAATTTGTCTGCAATATATAAAGACAAGTTTTGCTCTATATAAATCCAGTATTTTGAAAACAAGGTTCCCATAGTAAGTAGTTTATCATATGGCAATCAGACCAAACTTTTCCATTTTGAATTTGCTTACTTTAACTAAAAAAAAATACAGAGCTTACAACTGTTTCCATGGAAACACTCTGTATGGCAAAATACTGACCAAGTAAGAACCAATCAGAACACTAAGATTTACCTCAGGACTACCTTGCCATATTATAATCATCATTATTGCACCTACAGCTGTATGAGGAGAAAATTTCCTTTGGATTTATAGCTGGGATAATAACAAATATCCAGTCGGGTAGATAAATGATTTTAATAACTTGAGTTTAAATACCTGCTGAATTCCACATGATTCTTGTTTCCAAATCTTCCCATTCATTGTTTTCTTGGTCAACCAGTTTCTTAATAACTACTTCATATCCCTTGAAATCAGAGGCACTGTGCAACAAACCCATGGTTATGCATCCTGTAGCAGCTTCCCCAGACTCTAGAGTTGGTGGGCCTTCATAAGATAGTTCAATCAAATTACTCACCAAGAGCTCATTACTGCCTATGGGAGGAGAGAGGGATCTAGGACTCCACATGGAACAAGAGACCCACAAGGGTTCTTTCAGAAATCCTGGAGAAAAGGTGATAAATGCACCAGCCTCCGGTAGATTCCATGTGTCTCCCTTGTCTGTTATCTCATCTCTGAGGAGCAAATAGACATTTAGAGCATTAGCCTTTGCTTTACAACCCCTTTGAAGGTTCTGTAAGAGCCCAGCACAACAAGAAAAATCATAGATAGAAAAATGAATTACCTCCTGACCACAATCTTTTTGCTGTCTCTAGGGTTTGGCTTTGAATCTTCTTCATCGGACAACTCCACCACAACTTCTTCCTCCTCCTCTGCATCATCTCCTTTTGCTGATTTGGCATCAGGCACCTTTTCCCTCTCAGAGGCTAAAAATAGTTGTTTTCCTTAAATAGCATTGCAAAAATTGCATTTCCTACCAAAACTGCATGCCTCAAACATGATTGGTGCATTAGCAGACAGTTGAAGCAGTCAATCATACTAACTAAAGTCCACTCCCTCAGCTAAATCCACCAATCACAAAATTGATCACCATAACCATAGAAACAACTACTTACCCTGAAAAAAGAAACTGGGGAACTTCCTAAATGGAAGAATTTTTTACTTTAAACATTGTCAATTTTGGAGATGTTTGTCCTAAGTGTATTTGTTTTTGTTTGTTTGTTTTTTTGGAAATTCAAACAGTCATGATTAATTGGTAACTGGACTTCGTGTCATCCAATTCTGTTGGTAATCATACTCATGATTGACAAATCGGACTCCCCCTTCATAGTTGTCCAATTTTGTTAATCACTAGTCTGAGAACAGACAAATTGGACTCCACTTGGTCCTATTACCAGTATTAATCTCCCTTAATTTACCTCTGTGTCTCTACAATTCCAAGTGTGTAAATGCAACTTTATACTTTGTATGCTTTGTAAACTTAACATGTGTGTCAGTTTGGGTTTGTGAGACTCAGTCCAAGAGTCAAAGTGGCTCATCCAGCTGGAGTTTATCCTGGTTTCCTGAGCATGAAGTGATTGGGAGTATTACTACTTCCCCCTAGATGGGATGCCAGTCTATTGAAAGTTTACCACCCCAGCATTTCAGCAGGCTTGCCTAAAAATTTGCCAGTATCTATTTGTAGTCCTGAATGGGGCTCAAGAGGCACTGACAGAGTAATTTAACCCTTTAACTCCCATGAGTGACCAAGACAGAATTTCTCCTTACAATATCAAAACAATATCAAGCAGACAAGTGATGAGAATAACAAAAAATATCAGTTAGGGGATTGTAAGATGATCCAATACCAAATTCTCCAAACCAACATCACAAGAACTGTATGGGAGACAGTAAGGAGAATTATTGATGAGATCTTGGGAATTAATTGGCTAAAGTATTTTGTCCAAGAACACAACACAATAACTAGATCAGCCAGGTCTTGAACCATGATCTCTTGACCTGGAGTCCAGCACACTAACCATTAGGACAATGCATTTCCCACCAAATGCTATTAACTCTTTACATCTTAACATCAGTTTACATTTTCTCCATAACATTCTGTATACATTTCCTATGGTATTGACAAAGAGAATTTGTTTAACAATTAAGAACTTCTTTAGTTGGTGATCATATCCCTTATTCTCATGACCTCAATGATTGTTTTAAGGGTGACACTGATAGGAGGAAATAGTTCCTAACCACTCTTAGGGGTTAAGGGGTTTATCCTTTAACCTCTGAGAGTGACCAAGAGCTAATTTCTCCTAACAATATAAACCCTGCTTCAGACAGTATAAGGTCATGAGAATGAAGGAAATGATCATTGACAAAATATTTTCTGGATTGATAAACAAATTCTCCTTGTTAGCACCTAAGGATTTGTATAAAAACACTATGGAGAATATACAGACTGATGTTAGGGTATAAAGGGTTAACAGCAAAATGCCTACAACACTCTAATTTAGGAATAACTTGCAATGCCATTGGCTTTTACCTGAGTGCAGTAGAATTCTTTGGGTCTGGTCAGCTTTTTCTTGAAATTCTTCTTTCTTAACACTATACATCTTCTGAAATTGTTCCTTTTCCACTTTGTAAACAATGTATTTGCCTTTCTTCTTGCTAAGAAGTTCCAAAATAGTATCAATTACTTCTTTGTCGAAATCATCAAAGCAAAACAATTTTGAGCCTTTTCGTTCTTCCCAGAGATGTTCACAAAATTTCAATGCTTCTTTTCGAAATCCTTTCTTCTGGTTTCCTTTCCCTAGATTATCATATGAGGTCTCGACACCAACAATAATATCTCGCCAAACTGGACTGTGGTTTCCTGCATCAAGTGCTTTCTCCATCTTCCATGCTTCAAGAAGGAGCTGCAAGGATCTCTCATCTTCATTCAAGTATGACAGAATCACTGCTCTCTGGTATATGCTTTGCACAGTTAGTGGGTGATTTTCGAGAATCTTCATCCTTATGTTATAAGCCCTATCTGCGGGTTCAGTTGCTTTTTTATACTCCTTTCTGTGAATGTAAGCATTAGCAAGATTTCTCAGAAAGTGAGCTTCATCCCACGAATCTAAAAGGTTTAGTTCCTTCAAAAGGCCCAAGGCATCTTTGTAACACTTGGTAGCCTTTTTGTAATCTCCTAGACCAACATAAACAGTTCCAATTTGATTCTTGTAAATTGGAATGTCAAAGTGATGCTCAGATCCTGCCACTTTCTTTTGAGTCATATATGCTTTGTTGTAAAACTCAAGTGCCTTCTCAAGTAGTTTTAGACTCGAATAGCAGTTTCCAATAGCATTGTAGCACCTCGCAAGATCAGTGTGCTCCTCTGGCAGTGCCTTAAAGAATTCCAAGGATGACTTCAAACATTCAAGTGCTTTCTTAAAGTCTCCATTTCTCCAAAGGATCTCACCTTCACAATACAGATAGAGTCCTTTGGTGAGCATAAAATAATCACTAGTTTTGTTGTTGACTTTCTCCAGTGAACTGAAAGCTGTCATCAGTACCTCAAATGCTCTCTCTGTTCCATGGACATCAAGAACTTGCTTTACTTCCCGGCATTTCAACTGTGCTCGCATGAGAGAACCTAAAAATGTTACACAACAAGTCAATTATGTAATCTTATTACCACAGTTTTGCAACTTAAAAATGAAAAATATTTATTGGAGCTTATAATTTTGTAAGAGCAGAAGAATTAACAGTCAGATGTTTCATTTAATAACAGTTGCAAGTGGATTCCCAAAGTGAACAATTTTCCAAAAGACTAAATTGTAGGACTTCAAGTCATTAACGCTTTACACTGAATTACCTTAACATCAGTATCCATATTCTCCACACTGTTCTCTATACGTTTCCTAAGGTGCTGACAGGGAGAATTTGGTCAGCAATGAAGAGCTACTTTAATTGGTGATCAGTTCATATATTCTCATAACCTTCATGATTGATTCAGGAGTGACATTGTAAGGAGAAATTAGATATTAATCACTTTTAGGAGTTGAAGGGTTGATATGTGAGAGGATATTCAGAGCAATTTTTTAGCTAGTCTT